CACAACTACGGTGAGTACCAGCGGTGTGCGTATGAAGGTCCTGGTAGCAATTTTGATACATACCTTTGGGTGGGTTTAGATTGTAGTCTTATTAGCAACGGATGACTTGAGCACTTTCCTTTGTCTCATACTTTGTTGATTAGAGTTTGATAGACAGCCACAGAACAGTCATATTTTAAGAGTCTAGCATTTATTAGTAGACTTCGTTTACAAACACTCCATGAAACTACATTCCCGTCCACAATTTATGTACTAAAATGTCGTCAATTTTGAGCTTGCGCTTATTTATGCGACCTTTTGTCTTATATTATCAAATCTGATAACATGTATGATACTTTCATATCACATATTTATCTTGATCAAAACAATGTGCTTTTTGTAACTCTTGTAATCAATATAGCATGAACGAGCTCCGTATATTTTCATGACCTCCGTATATGTTCCTAATTATCAAGTAGGAAATATTCAAAGCTAGTCCTTAATGTTGGAAAAAATATATATTGAAGTGCACGTAATCCAAGCGAGGACTTCTTGAGTCTTTACAAGGTGTCCTTAAGTTTACCAAGCATACCTTTAATGTAGTATTTTCACTTCTTTTGACATTCCCAAGTATATGTATTCTTCCAGTATACTTTGGAAATCTTGCGTGAATTATGAAGTAATTCCCATTTGGTTTTGGTGTCTACCAATAGAATATTGAATTCTGATTTGAAATTCATCTGCTCGTGATCGCTATTATGTTACATGGTATGTTGACTAATTTCCAAGTCTCATATGATTGGTGACAACTGTGTTGCTGCTTACCGTTTCTTGTACCTCTTGGACTTCATGACTTTGCCGTAAGAATTTGAGTCCAATGGCACTACTTTAAGTGTTGCGATCAGTATTCTTTGTGGAAGTCCACTGGTTTGCAAGCTAATCCTTTTATCTTTTATCTCTTTCTCTGTTGCATCCGGTCTCAATTTTCTGTGAAAAGTGGTAGGATGGTACTGTTTTGATATCAGAATCTAGATACTCAGTTGGGTCATGATATTCATCTTCACTTTGGCACTGGTGTGGTGGTGGATAAATCCTCCTCCATGCCAGGCTACTTCATCGAGTAGTTCTACCTGTTTGTTGCATGGGAAGGGTTTGGTAAATGAGGAACGAGTATCTTCTTGTCTGATCGTTAAACAAAATGGCCATGGATATACAAGTTGTTGTAGATCAAGGTGCAAAGGCCAACTCTGATTACAAGCTGACCGCCTTTGCGGTCGACATGACGGAAGCAGAAGTTCTTGGTTAAACCGGGGACGTATAGCACATCTGTTACATTAATCGTTTTGCTTCAAGTGAGTGCAACCTCAACTCTGCCTTTGCCTTCAATGGGAAGGGTCGTTGGAAATCTCTGCGCAAGAACTTCTGGTTCATTTTGTATTTTGGTCCGTATATGCATTATAATAGCCAATGTTGTTGACGCAGTTGTATTCTCAGCCACATGCTACTCCGCATGTTCATATATGCATCTACGTAGTGCAAAGTAATACATTCTGTAAGCAAATTCCATTGGTTAATTCCAAATTGCTCATTCAATACCGGTTTCGTCTTTACCCATCGAGGAAACCAAAGAACTTTCTCTGTGAAGAGATAGTGTTCCATCGTTCTGTGCCAATCTTCAAATGAGTTTCATCCCATTAAACTTCATAAAATCTCATCCCATCGTTTCTTCTCATTAAACTTCGGTCATGACCGTCCTCCGAAGACAACTCCAAAGACAACTGTAGTGCTCAACTTGACCATTGTTGTCTCTTTTCCTTAAGGCAGTCAGCTCCACCTGTGGTCAATGTCCACTGGCTACACCCCATCACTGATGCCAGCCCGGCACACGCTAACGTTACCTACGCCGGCCACCTCCTGAGCCCAGACTCAAGCTGACTGCTGCATTGAGGCTTAAGGCCAAAAGTGCCAGAGTATTATGGGACAATCTACCCTGACAAATGAAGCTACTGCTAGCAATGCCAAAAAGTCATGCAGTAGTTGAGCATTTCTTGGCCCTGCAGCTTGTCCACCCCGGAGTTCTCCAGTTTTCAGCCTGTTCCAAGATTCAAGGTTTCCTCAGAAGTCTCAAACATTGGGCAAGCGGCGGCAGGCTCTGGTTGTAAAACAGGTTTGTGTAGTAGCTAAGGTATGCGCTCTGCTACTGTACTGCTTTCTGAGCAGTACAGTGTTTGTGGCGCGATTTGGTATCTTTTAGGGACCGGAGCGTCTACACGCATGTTTGGTACGGTGTTTCCGTAAAATCAATACAAATCTGGGATCCGTGAATTTGACGATATAAGTTGTGATGTGGCAGGCTATCGTGAGTTTGTGAGTTTGTAACAGGAGTTTGTTCCTTACGTTCATGGTTCACACGTGAAGTCAACTCTCTTGCATTTTAAGCCCTTCCTGTTACAAACCACGAATTTCCCCTCCAACCTTGTCACGTGTGATCGACAAAGAAGCACATGTGTTGTCACAACTCATGACCGATTTTCTCGTAAGAAAAACCACCAGATCTCGTTAAATATTTTGCTGCCTCCAGCATGCTTGCCATGGCATTAGTCATTCACGGAATGTAATGCTTCGGACATAATTGCTCCACGATATCAATAGCACTGCAAGCGCAGCCACTCGGAAGCTGTGGGGAGGCATGCAAAGGATCTGACTCTCTATACTCAGACACTCGAATCGTCTTGCCGGAGAAAGGGAGACGACCAAGACCTCAGTTGCATGCGTGAGTCATGCGTAAGGTAGAAGGTATACCTAATGCAGAACAATGGCAGCTGTTACCAGTTGTGTGTTTGGGACTGTGCCTTTAGTTCGATGTTAGAAGACCTCACGCCTGCTTTCAAGGGGAGGGAGCTCTTCTCAGTTTGGGGAGGGTTTACTGCATTTCTATCTCCAAACAGAGTCACAGGGCTACCGTACCTTCGTCATCTTGCAGCAATAGACTTCTGGTTCCCTATCAACGGACAACAGCAGGTTAATACAATCCATAGGCTGGGAAGGGTTTAGGGTGTGAAGAATGATCTACTCTGCAAGCTAGCCTAAGGACGAATCATTTATAGAATGAAGAATCCAACACGGAGTTAATCCTGAATCTGTACTGGCTGCTGGGCTCTTCTTCAGTTAAGCAGTCACCGGATTGTACTTCGTGATCAATGCATACTTAGATAATTCCGATCAGATCTCTTTAATTCCGATCAGATCTCATTCCGGCTTGACTTTCCGTCAAATTTCACAATGAACATCACATACATGTGGCAGCACGTTTAAGGCGGGCGGGCGGCCTACTTACTGTGATTTTTAGACTCTCTGTGTCTCTTTTCTGTTCCATGCCTGCTGTGATCCGTGGAACTGAAAACGAACTCAATTGGACTGAGTGTGCATGGACCCAGCTTGCGTCACCAGTTGGGTTGACCCCGCGTCAAATATGTGCAAGGTATGTAATTTGCTGCTTTCTGCCCGAGGGCCCAATGCAGGAGAATATCTATCATTCTCAAAGCTGCAGTGAGTCATCCAAGGCTGTTCGCTTTCCTTGGTAGCACGTGCAGTGACGGGGAAAGCCCTGTGCTTTTGGGTTCAGATCATTTCATCAGACACAGATTCCCGATACCTTCTTTCAGGAGCAAGTGAAAGTGAATTAAATACGAGGAAACAATAAGTTCACGATGGCGGTCCTGACGTCGTAAGTCCTGGCCTGCTCCACCTTCTATCCTCTATATATTACGAGTTTTTTGGTGGCCCTGAGAGACTTTTGTCTGTTCGAGAAGATTTTAGCGTTGAAGGTGTAGAGAACGTTTGCCATCGGGTGAGATCGTTTGTCAACATGTAACTGCCCTGACCTTCTCTCATATGGAGCTCTGTCATCCTTCAAATTCTGTGCTGTTTGTGCCTCGAACTGTTCGAGCTTTTTGAACGAAACACGCCATGGCTAGACGATTAAGTTAGATAGAGAGTTTGAAAATATCTGGAGCTTATTGAACTACAAGACACTCCATCCACGTTTAGTTGCCTGCATAAAATCCTTCCCCTTGGCGGGATAGTAGGACACACAGTTGATCATGGCCCAACAAACTGATCTAGGACACACGCTTTCAGCAAAAGTGAGCGTTAAGCCTCACCAATCCGGACGCGTGCTAGTCACTGCAGATTTCCACTGATGGCCTTCCTGTCTTTGTACCTTGGTGACAAACTGGGAGCTCCAACTTAAACTTGGACAGTGGAGACAGTTGAGTCAAGGAGAGCGACCTAATGCTTCCGAAGTGTTCCATGCGGTTATGGATTCACTCCACAGACAAAATGTTTCATTTGATTTGGGTGAGCGGCGATGTCTTGAGCATATTCCAGATGACAATATATGCAGCGATGCATTGTGAGTGCTTCACTTTAAAAGCTCAGCACCCATGATCGTGAGATAGATGTGCTTTTAGCCTAACGAAAAGTTCCGACGGTTTGGCTCGACGTGCGTCCTCGGGCTCAGTGATATGCTTTCGAATTTAGCTTCAAAGGTCGATCGAGCACAGACCTCATTCACTGGGCCGAATGAATGTACTTGAAGACCTCTAGCAAGACCCCGTACTACATTAATGTTGTGTTGATGCAAGACTTCTTGTATGCTTCTGATGTCTTATACTCCAATCGCACTCTGAAGATAAGGCTAAAATAGAATAATGCTCCGGACAGAACCTCTGGATGCCGAGGCTGATATTAGTTCAGTGCAGTACACTCCACCGGCACACAGATTCTGAAGTAGTTGCAGTTTACGCGAACCCCTCGAAGAGAATGCATGGATGGGACTAAAAGTCCAGGAGACGCGAGCACGGTGGGGGAGGATGAATGGTCGCGATCATGGGATGATGCCACGCTGTACAATCCAGCAGTTGAATGCCTGCTTGAGTGTGGCTGAAAGCAGTCAACCAGGTGTCGGGTAGGAAGAGAGGATTGAGTGAGTACGCAATTCTGTAAACATCCTCAGAAACAGGAACCAATCAATCAATTAAAGCTTTAAACAAGTACAGAATTGCAGCATCGCGTCATTAGAATATCCTCGCGGGGAGACACTAGAAACAAGCTGGATCCGGATTCCCACTTATACACAGGGGTTTACGTACTGAGCTCAAATGTGTGCACAACTGTAGATCAGGGATGCCGATCAGCGTCGACCTCTCTCTTAGACGGTCACGACCGACCTCACTAGTGGCTAAGTAGTACTGCAAGTGGTGGCATGGCTTAGTTGTGGGATGTTGACTCCAGCTGATGCTTCCGGAACCCAGCAGCAAATGAATCTTTAGGAACTCATCGGGTTCCACTGTGTCTTGTGGAATCTTATATACAACAGGCAGCGTAGGACTCGGTGTTCAACTTGTGGCACGTGGTATCTAGATCTATTCGATCGATATTGGGCGACGAGCTAGCTGCTGCTATCGAAGCATATTCGAGCGCCAGGACTGCATGAGCTGCTCGCAATTGCCTCCTGTAGCTGAGATGGCCATCTAGAGATCACTCTCTATTAATCTATTTTGTTGTATTTGAAAGGAGTATTTGCTTGAGTTGGATCTGCCACATTTTGGATCTTAGCCTGAGTTGACCCTCCTGCAGTTGGTGCGGATTTGCCCTGCAGATCCAGTGAGAACCCCGATGCGACCCATTTTGATCATGGATCTAGAAAACTGGGAGAAGAAGGTATTCTGATTGGTGAAAGCATTGACAGTGTTCGTGGTTTGCCCCGAATTTTGGAGTGTTTGGTCACTAGTGAGCAGTCCTCTATTTATGAGCAGATTGTTGTAGTATGAGCTGTCGAATTGTCCCGGCGTGGCTTGGTCGAAGTCAACCAGTGCGGCTCCATTTCCACCCTGTGGACAAGCTGCCTGGAGTCTGCCGAGGAGTGCCGGGTCGATCGACGGATCAGGGGCTCCGGTGTTCGCGAAATTGAAGAGGCGGCCGCTGAACTGGAAACACTGGGACTTTCCGAAAGTGTGCCCCCCTGATTCCGAACACGAATTTGTCAGTACAATTTCTAAATGCATGCAAGCTTTGTGGAGAATTGCCATCGACTGACGTAAAAGGTCCAGTCCAATAGCGCTGAACCTCTCACACAAATCTGCATTCAAACGTTCTCAGTGAACCTCAGACCTCATCGATGGAATTGTTATAGCATTACACTTGCAGCTGCGGGGAGTATTTTCTGATTGAGTCTGGATATATGTAGTGGCATATCCGGACTCTATAAGACTCCCGGACCTTTGGAGCTAGCTATACTATATGCTGGACTTGCGCATGTAGAAGATCTTAATACCTGAACGCAGCAGGCATACCTCTTGAAATAAGCGTAAATCTAGACATCGCTAGAAGCCTGAATTGCAGAAGATACCTGAGAGAGCTACAACATCAGTTGTATCAAGCCCTTGCGCTCCGAATTGAGCTATAATTTGGCCCGCGCTTGATCCTGGACCAGGGAGATTAGTACCCACTGCGGCAGCGTTTGCTGATATGCCATCACGCCGACCCAGCTCAACATTCCATGAAGGACCGCCAGCCTGCACGACAATCACATCGACTTAGAAACTGAATCTCATAGTCGTAAGGGATAACATGCGAAGGAGTACACGGAGCTCGGAAGATATTCGAACTAGACCCAGCAGCTCAGAGGAGCTCAGCGTCTTCTAATTTAAAGGCCACTGTCCACTCTGCAGAACATTGTGAGTCTTGCATCTTGAGCTAATAACAGAGCTGAGTTTCATTCAGGCAGCTGCCTACTCACCAAATTAACACCGTCGCGAGCTGCGATGGCCAGGATGTCCGCACAGGAGACGGTGCCAGGACATTGATTTTCCAGCGCTGACTTTATGTTATCAATAACCTGGAAGCCTCTTAAGGACCCTGCATTGGCGCCGACATTCTTCTCTCCTATCAAACCAGCCGAGGGAACGTCGTCCAGTAAAACCGAGGCCTCGCATCCCTGTACGATTCATGCGCAACCCATGTTATTCTACGTGCTGTACATTCAGGTGCAACGCTCTGAAGCATGACATGGTCAAGAAAGTATTTGGGACCTTTTACCAGCTCCTTCGCCAGAGAGTGACAAAATACCAGACAGAAAAGGCCAGGCAGTTTGGAAAATTCACCTGAACGAAGCAGTCGTGGAAGTGCATTCGCAGAAGCGAGGCACCTACTCTTCCATCCGAGCGCACTGCACTGGTCATGGTAGATCTCACTGTACTCAGCACGGAAGGACATGTGCGGCTGTAAAACCCTGTCGACAGCTGCCCACTGGCAGGACTTACTAATAAAGTTGCCACGATGGAGATTGTCAGAAACCAGAACATGCTCAGCTTCTGAGAGGCCTCTGCCATGATGGGATTGGGACGTCTCCTACTCTGGGCGATACTTGCACGTACTTTTCTTTTCGTGAACCAGCTTTCGTGATGCGCTACAAAATAAGGAGCTGGAAGTGAAAGCTAGATTTCCTCGGTCTGACAAATCGACGAACGCATGCGTTGCTCTTTGTAGCTAGCTTGCTGATAGTTCAATCACACCTCGGATACTGATACTGCTCTAAAGCAAGAGCTGCTGCTCGGTTTCACGAGCCTTAAGCCAGGAGGGATCCGCAGTACTCTTGTGTCTCTGACTGCTTCTCTGTACCCTGTCTTTCATCAACCTGATGGATGTACGAGGTGAGGGTCCAATTGGCAGACTTTATATATACTCGAGTGCTGGATCCGAGGAAGTTGTTCCTCCCTGGAGATTAAATCGTTGTTGAAGTGATAAGCATTAACGGGTGACAAGTTATCGACCGGGGTTTTTTGCTGCATTAGAGTGTGCTTCTGAAACTGTCGTGTTAGATTCAACTAGGGCCCGCAGCCTAGAGTACAATAATGAGTGAAACTCGGAAGAGCGAGTCAAAACCAATTACCGGCACCAAATGTAGTGAACGTTTGAGGTAAAGCGTGGGAAAGACAGATTGTGAGAGAAAGACGAAGGTTGACAGCCAATTCCTATACTGAACACTGTGGTCGACTAGCATAGCAGCCATAGCTGAGTCTGGTAAAGATACCCGCACGCATGCACACACGTTACGGCAAAGAGCTTTTGAGTCCTCTGCATGCTACCTCGAGCCTGCAGCCGTCCATGAGGATCCAATTTTTTGAAGCCATGTATATTTGGTCTAGGATGAGTTCGAACATTCTACTGTACTGCTAGATAGCATCAACCTGCAAGCTCAAGCAAAGTTAGTCAAAGCCAATTCCTGGGCCTCTTAAAGTCGACAGCTCTGGGTACAATTTCGGCCGTGTGCTTCAATATGCGTACAGCTTCCACCTCCTTCAGCCCACAGCTTGCGTCTTGGGCTGCGCCTAAATAATTTGTCTTATTGCAAGTTTGTCCGAGAAGATGTTCCCTAAAACCAATCCTTGACGACAGGTGGAAAATAGTTTTGACGTTTAATGGTATTCGACATCTCCTAGATGTTGAAGACAGCTGGATACTGTCAGATCAAATTCTACATTCGAGGAATCGACTGCATGCTCAGAAGTTGTTACATTAGTCTAATGTTCTGAAAGAAGGTTAAAGGTGATTTTATTATTGATCAAGCTTGTCCTGACAGAACTGCAATTATGAAGCACAAACCGATATACACAACTACATTCTAGTATGTTCAAGACGTACAATCCTCGTAGCTAATAAATTTTCCTCTATTGAAGTGCTTATTTCACGGTTCGATATTATGTAAGTTAATGAAGATGTTTACTGCTGCAAAGTACCGTTGTTCGAAGGTAGTTAGCAGCAGTAAACATATTAAGCACGAATACTGTTGTGAAATTATGACAGCATTTTGGAGAAAAAGCTTCAATAGGGATCCAGGAGAAATTCCTGTTTGACTGTCCTGTACTGACGGTGGTGCATGGTCTGGGCTTTTCATGTGCCGATTGATACGTGAATTATCAATTCCCTCCGATGGCTCTGAAGTGTTTTTTCGCAGGCTTCTTCTTCTGGCTACTATGTGACATTTCTGGAAATAAAAATTTCGATACTCCAATTTGCGTCTAGAGCTCCCTAGCACAAAGCTCCGGGCCATAAATATCCAACACGAGTCTCCTCCCAACATGATCATGACCTTGGCTCAGAATGAATACTCAGCCAGAACAAAAGCTCTTTTCATTTCCCGCCACAACTTTAGCCATCAGTCAGCGGGTAAAAAGAACGGCGACATGACAAAAGTCTCAAGTAAGCAAAGTGCAGAGTCTCCACAGACCAACCATCGTGTATTTTTTTTAGCAACCTGGGCCAAATAGCGAGAGAAGACGGTGGGCTGTTGAAATTTGCGCCAGATATCTTCAAGGAATCAGAATCGTTAAAAAGATGCATCACTACTTTTGGCCTTTTGGGACACAGGCTTTCACACTGGTCTACACCTCATGGACCTCTAGGACTCCAGAACTCGAGTCTGCGTAGACTGGTCAGTAAAAATTATCTCTCTGCATTGCCCACATGAGTGCATATCCATGGCCAAGGCCAACTCTGGGGACGAAAAGGTAAGAGAAGCGTGTACTCCACACCTCAGAGGTAGAACTGAGTTGTCAATCGATGCGGCAGTAAGCGTAAAACGTCCATGCATCGGCTTGAACTACATGCTCGGTGACTGGGATATTCGGGTCTTGTGTCCGCTCTGCAGCTCGGCAAGAGTATGTGTAGAGTGCTCATGCCTGACATGGAAGAGAAGCATGACATGAGATCATAATGCACTAAAGAGGAATGTGAAAAGGTGCATCGCAAATCGACAAAAGTGCACTGGAATTGAAGTATGAGCCTTAAGTGAAAGTACGGGTCTGCTACGAAGACACGAACATAGACGTCCGCGCAGTGATGGTTCCGGACATTCTCCTGACATATGAAGCTCACTGACAGATGTTTGAAAGGCTGCCCTTTGCAGGTGCTGCAGTCTGTGGCACTATACTCTGACCTGCTGAAGTCCCCGTCGTCGTGGTGCACAAAGTTACAAACACGTCTTCATGAGCAGATCATGCCCAAGAGAAAGAGAGAAGCCATGATTCTTTGATCATCAGCCAAGGATAGGAAGCCAGCCAACGGGAAAGGCCTTGCACTGTCAAAAGTGCGGCATTAACTTCGAGATTAGATTTAAGAAGTGGCTGTTCGAGAGAGAGAGAGAGAGAGAGAGAGAGAGAAACTCAGTTATTAGTAGTCACCTCCACTAGGAACTCTACATATTCTCAGAATGCCCAAGAGCAGAACAGCGCTGTCATGTCTGTCCATTTTAGGCAGAAACGATGATGATTTGGTTCGTTCCGGGTATGTGGCTACCTGTAATTTGACGCGAGTGAGAACGCACTTTCAACCTTTCCAATTTGAACTCGAAAACATGTCAACATGAAAACCGCGCTTCCTTCTACCGAGCTGAGTGACGAAGAGACTAAAAGGTGGAAGGCTCAGACTTAAAAAGAGCATTCGTTACGCATGTCTGAGAATTGTTCACGTCATGCTGTTCAGAAAAATTATCCATAACTCACCTGCTGGCTGCATCTAAAGGCTTTCCATGCAGTCTTGCGAGAGACCAGTCACATCACACAGAATGTCTGAAGAAAAAAGCTGAAGGTCTACTGGTTTATCTTAAAACGAGCGACTGACTGCAGGTGCAAACAAAAGTGTTTGACGACAGCACAGGTTTAGTTGCGCTGCAAGCTTGAAATTCATGGTTCTCTTCCAATTAAGTTTTGGATGTGGACTCGTGCTGCACGATTAGAGGAATTTTTCCTACTCAAAAGTTCTTGGATTGTGGAAAGAGCTGAAATAAAACATTATCTGCGTAAAATGTCAACCTGTAGACCTGCGTGTCCTCTAGCTATGACCAAAACGTATGACTTCACGCATGAACTGAGCAAGCAAGGTTGACGACAGTAATTCTTGCAATCCAGCAAAAGGTAGCAACTCTTTTAAGTCGAAAGCTGTTTTTTCAACAGAAGGCCCTACTTAGCTAATCAAGGATTTCTCAGCAGAAATTTGACGTGTGAACGGTGACACAGTGTCAGTTTACAGTTTGCGTGTGAGTCGAATTTCTTGACCTAATGATTATAATCAGACGAATAGGAATCCTATCCGTCTGATTACATACAATTCTCTCTATGTCTTTGGTGGGACAGAAGAACATCTTTTTGTTGAGACAAAAAGCAAGGCCGTTAGGATGGCACTTGCTTTGTCGACTGTTTGAAGAAGGTGCAAACCTTATCATTTGATCGGATCTAGAATTGTAAAAATAGACACACGTCTTCGCCTATAGGTCTGTCCTTACAAGTCTTCAAGCGTTGAATATTATGTGCAAGCTACAGAACGCGGGCACTTTGATCGAGAAATTATCCTCCATTGACGTTTTTATTTCTCTGAAGACTGAGATCCCGATTCTTAAATTGTGATGTCAGAATTTGCAACTCTTGTAATCATCATAAGTTCTTGGTAGATTGCGAGCGTTTGTAGAACTTTATGTCTTAGGATAAAGATGAAGTCAAGTTCGCTGAATATAGAGGCGACCTGCATAATCAGATATATGTGATAGAGCTTATGAGACTTGCCCGACGATATGATTAAGCGAAGAATGCATTTATCTTGGCCCTGCATATGTATATGAAAAGAATGTGACGACATCGGAACTATTCACTACAGTACTTAGGGTGGTCAAAACGAAACACCCCAGAGAAAATCGCGGACGAACCCTTCAATCGAGTGTTGACTGAAACCTGAAGGCCATCAGAAAAGCTGGAGTAATCATCGAAACCTGTGCCTTCGCAAAAGGCACATGGAAGGGCGAAGGAAGCCTTCACGTCCTTTCTTAGTAAATCTCTCACTCACGCCCATATATGGCTCCTAATTTTCAGCTGTTAGATTGTAAGGAGACGTCTCAAAAAAACAAGCCCATCAATCCCTCGGTGGTTCGGAAGAATGTATCTGAAAGTTAATTAATTAATCTCTAATTAGGACGAATTGCCCTATATCTGATCCCGGTTGGGGACCCTTAGTATTGCAACTTGGACGAAGAACTCATCTCATCGACTAATCAGGACCAGAAGCAGTAATACAAGAGTTCTGTGACGTCGGAAATGAATGATCCGAAAGGTACAACCGTGCATTGGCCCATGCAATTATCGTCCAATTCAGAAGCGGGGCACTTTGTCAAAAACGGTGTATCTTGACACACACGTCGAGCTATGAAGACGTCAGACGAAAGGATTCTTCAGATACAACCCACCGCAGTGCACCGCTCAGCTACAGAGTCGAAACCGAAGAAGCAGTGAAGCTACAGCTACATCTGATCTCGCTGCGATTATCGATCGTAAGCTCTAACCTCTAACCCGCACCCGACAACAGGTTCCAAGTATTGAGCTGGTGTCGGTGAGCAGTGGTCCAGGGTCCACTGGTGATGGCATCCCATCACACATGGAGGACATCTCAGTAGGTCCTTATCCACCAGATGGGACGCTGTGCAACTTTAACCCTCGCTCTGGAGGCCATGGGAGATTCTCGGAGTATGACCAGCTGCAGATGTTTTTTACTTCTGAGATGGAAGCAGCAGCAGCTGGCGCCGACCTTCTGGAGTTACAGCTCAATGCAGGTTGGACAGCCTAGTTCGTTCGAGACCTACGAGCTTTTCGGTGGGCGAGTGCTGCTCCCGACGGGTGGTCATTTGTTCCTCGACGCTGGCGAAAATTCTTCCGTCTCAGCCTCGAATGTGATAAGAATGACGACAAGTATAAGTAAGCACGAGGGCCCAGCTGTAGGACCGAGGCGAACTCAGCTCGGCATGACATGCATGAGCAAAGTCTTGCGCACACCTCAAGGCTCCGGGATAATGAGTACGATTCGGATAACCCACACGTCGGCATGAATCAGATATTTCCAGGAAATTCTCGCATCAGCAGGGGCTACCATCGGCAAGCCAATGGCAAACTGGAGTCTCTCTTGGCAATCATGAGCAGCAGCCCATCGCACAGTCCTGGCCCCCCTCCCGCCCCCCTGGTAGCTTTTGAACTGACTCGAGCTTTAATCTAATCGCAAGGTAAGCATGTTTAACTGTTATAACGATGTCGTCCAAATGTCCAAAAGTCGGAATCTTGCATCTCGTCAATCGCCCATGGCGAATTGGGGAGTGGGATCTCTCGGCGTTTCACATGAAACAAGCGTTGGCCTTGTCAAAATCGCCTGATTCCTTCACGTTCTGGATGCTGCTACGTTTGCTGCATCGGCCGAAATATATCACGAAGTCTAGGGGATGACGTGAATAACCGAATCCAGCAGCCTGACCCGTGCCACCGAAGGGATGGCACTGGCCAAGCTGCTCCTCCACTCGTGCAGAAAGAAGTAGCTAGTGGTCGTACACACGGTTGCAGCTGATTAGCAACGAGCTGCAACAGGACCCCGACCCGGCCCGGCCCCATGAGCAGGCCGGGATGCAAGCGCATGAAAAACAGAAGGATTTCGTATCGTAAAGGGACATGGAAAGAGATCGCCGTCATAAACCTTTGGCCAACTTTCTCCTACATTCGGAGAAGTGTCGTGATTCTTTCTGCACTACAGGTGCCCTGGCCTACCTTGCTCTCTTTCTTTTACGCACTGGGCTCTCACGATCATATCCATGTACAGTGGGGAACAATACCTTGCGCAGTAAGGGCAGCGAATCTATTGGCGTTTAGGAGAAAGCTGGACTTTTAGCAGGGCCCCGGAGCCTTAGACCTCGAGCTGACACGGGTTCGACATATGGAGGATGTTATGTACGGTCCCGTCTTTCTGCTCTGATAATTCTCAATTACTCTTCGTGTGTGTATCCACTTTCGCCCACCATTAGAATCGACCTCACTGTAGATTCTCGATCGGGCTCGTGCTCGACTTTACTTGCTCGTTGGAAGCTGAGAAACGGCTGATCCCAGAGAACTTCGTCAAATTAAGTTCCTGTGGATAGGATAATGAGAGCCAATGGAAGACCCGGAGGGGCCCGATGGGGCAGAAACCTGTCACATCTCACTTCGAACACCGCGTCCATCGACCTGGAACGAAATCCATATGCCAGATAAGGTGACTAACGTGTGTGGCGTGCGGAGCAGGGGCCTAAGATACCGATAGGCGCAAAAAATGACGACTGCATGCTGCCTGCGCTCGTGATCGAAGAGAGCAAGCTTTCGAGCCTTTACCAGAGATATGAAGGCACACTTCCTTTCGGTGTTTTTTCCATGGTGCCTGAGTGCAGTGACCTAGCTCAGACGGTCGGTACCTCTACTACTAGAACGGCATATTTCGTTGCGCAGTCAGATATCGATGGAATTCTTTCATGAGGAGCAAATGTTGACACTTTTCCACGTTTGACCGACGTCGGACTGTTCCAATATAGCGACCACAGTCTCTGGGGTCTGGTCTAGTGATCAATCAGCTTCACGGATTGCTGCCAGGAATACTCAGGCCGCCCCCACAACCTCCAGCAGTATAGTCAAAGTGAAAAGCGGAACCATGTAAATATAGCAGAAAGGTCCGTGTAGCTGATGATGATAGTATGCCTTGATACACGGACAGGTTAAGCAGACTATACCATATAAGTAGAATCACTTGGTGTTGTGCCTACATATTAAGCTAGCAAATACAAAACATTCACCCAACAAGCCGGTTATTGTCTCACGTTTGATGTTCATCTATTTTAATCTAGACATTGATTAGGCCTAGGGTGTATAGGAAATATCATCACAAGTTTGTGATAGATTGCGCTATATCTTAACATAATACGCAATATTGTTGACTTCTTGTCTAATGTCTAGCTATGTTGGTTTGAGAATATATATTTCCACGTTCTGATGCTGCTGTAGGGACCTAGCCCCTTGATACATATCCCTGGATAGGGTGTTCCTATCCTTTTTGCTATATTATTCGATGCTATAGTTTGATGACGATGAGAAAAAGTCAACACTTCTTCCCTGCCGTATGTATCACCTGGCAGTGAAAGGCTACAGTACCACAAGTTTCGACTTACAAAAATGTTCATTGTCAAGGTAGATGTCCCCTGGCTAGTGCTGTTCATTCCGACATCCCAAATGGTTGGTCATATCGGCAAAAATTGACCATACAAAAAAGAATATCTTCTTTTTCCATTATACGGTTTATCTAGCTGTTCATCTCCTCCTTCCAAGACTTTGAAAGCCACAAAGTAGACCACTTTGCTATAATACCCGATCATCCGTTTCCCTCTCCAGAAACAGAGTGCACGAAGGGCAGCCACAGCTATCAGACTGAACATAAAGTTCATGGATATTTTATAATCACATCGTTCTTCAGAGTCTCGCCTGGTCTTTAAAGAAGGTTCAATTTGGGTATCTGCGGTGCATGCTCTGCTTTCGTCTTCAAACAGAACAAGTCGAGCGTCCAGATTCCTATCAATCCTGGTGAAGGAAATGTCATCCGTTTTGCTTGGAGAAGGAATCATCGGTTTAATGACTGAAAGTCAAATTGCATCTGAACTGTCCTCGAGCTTCCAATCTCTTTGGCCAGGAAGTTTGACAGTATACAACCCAATCATGTTCTCGATTGGCATATTTATTTGATACCGTACCACCAGTTCTATTCGTATCTGCAATATGGACGCGGCGATTTATTATATCTTGAATTGACAAGTCAAATATGTTTTTAAGAGCTCAATATCAAAGGGGCCCATATGTATAGTAGATCGAATATTTATCTAACGACTTACTTCTTCCTTCTTGCCACTTGACGTACTGTACCACTGCCAGGATTGACCAAAGTGGACACCGGAGTTGCGATCCGTTCCACGTACGGTTCTGATGTGTAAATGTGTGGCTGCTTTTGCATTCCCACATCCTTTGAACGTTTCTTTGGGGCCTGAACTGGTGATCTAGTCCTTTCTACTTTGAAACAAAATATTCTTTGCAATTTTGTAAGTCATGTGGAAAATCTTTGATCATGCTCACGTCCAAAAATGGTGCAGACATAGCTAAATCACTATTTGAAATGCACGGTGACCCATTTTTAACATATTAAGAATAAGAAACTTTATGTATGCACCCTTAACACTCAACATTTTGAGTAGATTTCAAGAAAATATTTTTTGAAAAGTATGAGATTAAATAAGATGGTGATAACGGCACGTAAGGTTACCAGTTAATGACGGTGTAACCAAAAGCTAAAGCCTACGGAAGCATAGCATGTCGAATTGGCATTGGATGTGGTAATGCTACCGTAAATGGAAGCTGCTCAACGGGATTAGGAATCAAGAATAGTCCCAAACGTACGCTCAGTGATCACATCACGCATGTTGCCATTGAAAGGTGCGGGTGAGAAAAGGAAAACCACACATTTCATGCTGGTCATGGGGTATTTACATAGTCCAAATTGTATACTATGGTCAGGTATGGAATAACTTTGCTGTTACTGGACATATATTATATAGCTTGAAGTTCAGAAATATGATTGTTACCTCAAACACCGAAGTGAAAAATCTTCCAGTTCATGGGGTCAATGTCTCTCAACCTGAAATGCGAGCGTCTATGGAGGGGAGCATGATAATCGTTATTTTGTAACTCCTACATGCTGTGTAATATGAAAAGCTATGGATTCTACCCCCTTTCAGATTTTAGTGGAATTAGAGTAGATGCCTCCTATGTATATGCTGGATTGGGAGTTGATGCAGGAAGGCTACGTGAAAAATATTTGGTCAATGTATAAAAAAACACATGAACAAGAGCATCAGTCCAAGAAACTCCAAGAGCTACAAAGATCAAACACATAATTGGAGTAGAGGAGGTTCCTCATCGTAAAGACAATTTCAAAAATGCGAGTTGAATTGGACAGTTTCTGTTCCATCAAGGATCTTAAGATTCAATGATTTACCATAAAGAAACATTATTTGCTGTGCCAATTGATGAGTATTCATTCCCAACTATGAGAGATGAAAGTAGAAAGATCTTATCATTTTATATCTCAGAATTGAAGTTGTTCCAATTATCCTGTTGTCAAATGTAAAGACACAAAAAATGTGTGTTTGATCAAGTTGTAATATCTGATACAATATTGTTGTAAGATCAAGTAGATCCTTTGATCAAGTTGCAATATTTGATACGATTTTTTTGTAAGACTAAGTAAGTCTTAACCAAGTAAAACCGCTTAAGTTCTAAGTTTAGCTAAATAAAAGCAAATTATCTTGCCCTTTAATATCTAAAATCAGATGTCAATTCAATCGATTGATTCTAGATTTGATTCAGTCAAAATTGAATTAAACTTGAATTTTTCATTTCACTTAAGTCTATGCATCACTTGAAATGATGCATAGACTCCTTCGGATTCAAGACTGTTCGGAATTTTGACTCAACATTGATAAAATGTTTCTCAGACGCACATCTATATAAGCAGGTTTCTTTCCAATTGCATTATCATTCTGACTTCAAGTCTTTTGGATTTGATAATTTGAGGGTACAATCCAAACAAAGTTTAATCTGAGTATAATATCGTAGTAACGTAGCAAGCACGATTCGATAATCTTCGTCTGTGCAATTGGAGCATATCAGGTGAGTTGAAATAGCAAATGCATTTTTTGGATGAAACATATGTGATGTTCAGATTATAAAATTTCTCATAGGCTTGTAAATGCTAGTGTGAAAAGTTTATTTGCGAGGTTGTTTGGAACACGGGCAAGTTGAGGTTCCCTTACCTACTAAAATTGTGATGAGTTTACAAAAAGCCATTTGAGGTAAACTTGAGTGAGAGTCAACCCAGAGTTCACAGTTCATAATCTGCATATCAATGATTTCTCGTCGTCCATCTCCTGATCTCCGTCTGGTTCTCGCTCGCCATCATTCACGGCTCGTGCACTCGTTCACACACCATTTGCTTGAGTTCACAATTTGAAATTGCAACTTGCGCATTTGACTACTACTTGATTGAGTTGGCGCTCGCACCGTTCAGCTGCTGCGGCTTCCGCCGCCGATAATGATGATGATGTTAATGATGATCGTCTCCTCATCTTGTTTCCATCAAAAATAAAAACTTGCTCAGTGCCAACTTGCGTCTCAACTCAATGTGTTCCAAAAAGCGCATCCGATAGATGATGCGGATGAGAACGTCTCAGATCGAAACGATGTCAGTGAAATGACAGTTATGAATGAACTGGAAGGCAACCAAGTCCCGATCCGATCACCATCTTAGCAATCTTTTGCGCTCAATTCCTTTTTTTGGTCCTTGCCCTATTCTTGATCTAGTTCGGTTAAGTAAATCATTTAGTTGTCACATGATGTTCTATTCGTATTAATTCTACTCAACATCAAGCTAAATTGATTGGTAGCAGTTGAAACTACAAAACGTTCAACGCAATCCAACAACCGACAAAATCAGGAGATTTAAAATCACAAGGTTCCACAAACCCGTGCTCTTGCAAAATCTCATAGCCATAAGAGAAAATCAAATTTCACCATGAGCTTCTATTATAGAGAAACCGGCATCACATAGCGAGACTTCTCTTGTCTTATCTCTTGTTTTGTTTATGAAGAATTGATGCAAATGCTTCCGTCAATTCTTCATAAACAGATCAAAAGTTGAACTTCTTGATCATAACTAACCTCCAACAACTTAGGCAAGTCATGGTCATCATGGCACTTCACAAATGTACAACAGGCTCTTGCACAGAACTAAAAAACTAGGAAAAAACACATCGACCAAATACTAGGTTTGCTTTCTTCACAATGGATCTAAAAATGCGTTGCAATCTTCACAAACAGCATCAAAAAATTGATGTGAATTGTAATCGATGGGTTACATTACATTGAAGAAATCAACCAAAGGACAAAAAACTCACACACTAAGACGCGGTACAATATTAAATCAATTTTATACTTTATTTCCTCAGCGGCACACGGATTTTTCTATCAAGAGGACAAAAAATCTTTTTTGCAAAAAACACATCGCCTAATACCAATTCATAAGCTCAACTAACATAACACAAGATGATAAAAAACACAAACAATTTTCTTAGTTCGCTCTTCCCTATCTAGATCAACGAGAACAAATAAATGATATGTTAAGCGCAACGAGTAGATTTTCCGTGTTAAATAGTATAGGATAAACTTCAAATTGAATGACAAAATACATAGTTTTCATTGTATACTACGCACGTTCTCAACTTGGGTTTAGTCCAAAAATATTCCCACATTGTTTTTATTCTCAATATATGTAGCCCTCACTTAGTTTTCATATTATTCAAAATATATATTATTTATTCACATAGATATTTCATATATGAGATATGAAGTGTCATGCACATATTATTAATATTATAAAATCAAAAATGATCAAAAATTGGATTTTTAAAAAAATTGCAATATGTTCAACAAATTCATGAAATTTGATTAAATATCCAATAATTCTAAAATTTTAATTATTAGCAAAATATTTACAATCACTAAAATAAAATTGGAAAACATTTTATTGTTTATACAAATCTATATAATAAAAATTTAAATAGTAAGTAAAAAATATATTTTTACTATAATTTTTTATTTTATTTTTCAATATATAAAAATAGATATAATGAAAACATTTCAATTTCAGACAAAATTTGCCTTTTGTTGATTATGGAATTTTTTTATTACATGTAATATTTTAATTGGTTAACATAATG